TTTTATTTTTATTTTTATTTTTTATTTCTCGTAGTTATCGCGAGCAGTTCAGAGACTTCATCAGCGGGGCGGAGTGGAGCGACATCATCGCCGAATGCGACCCGTTCTTCCAGCCACCAGATGGCGAGCCTCTCGGCCTGCGCACCGCGCACATATTCGGACTCGCCAACGTGCTCCATCGACCAATCATATTGCTTGACAGTCTCGAGGGAATGCAGAGTCTCGGCGAGCACTCGGGTACTGCGCGTATTTCCCAGAATGCAGTAGTAAGGTACTGCGCGTATTTCCCAGAATGCAGTAGTCAGGTACTGCACGTATTTCCCAGAATGCAGTAGTCAGGCAGTGCGTCTATTTCCCAGGATGCAGTGGTTTTGTGGTGCATACAGGTACTCCGTGTTTAGGTGAACAACAGTAGAAGGCGTCCATAGGCGGCAGGCCTGAATAAGCATCGAACAGAAATTAATTAAAAATACTCACACTGTTACTGCGCTTACACAACATGCACTTTATTCATGTTAAATAACAACAGATTCATGCTCTATGCCCCGCTTGAAACTTTTGCCAGCTCTATGACGCAAATTTCTACAAAGTAGTCGGATCACATTTCAAAGACAAAAATGACCAACCGCTCGCTGTGGCTACGCCACCTGACGGAATATCACGAATACACAACAAGACCAATTTTACTTCTAATGCTTTCTAGACGTCCACGAGGCATCTAACTTGAGTGCATAATGCAAATTATTGCACTAGTGCCGTATTTCTGTGAAAAAAAATGCGGAAAAAGGCATTTTCTAGAGACGATATAGTGCAACGGTGAACAATTTGCGGAGGCTTACTGTTGTACACCTCCTTAATCCCAGAATGCTGTGGTTTTGTGGTGCATACAGGTACTCCACGTTTATCCCAGAATGCTGTGGTTTTGTAGTGCATACAGGTACTCCGCGTTTATCCCAGAATGCTGTAGTTTTATGGTGCATACAGGTACTCCGCGTTTATCCCAGAATGCTGTGGTTTTGTGGTGCATACAGGTACTCCGCGTTTATCCCAGAATGCTGTGGTTTTGTGGTGCATTGAAGTACTGCGCGTATTTCCCAGAATGCTGTAGTTTTGTGGTGCATTCAGGTACTGCGCGTTTTCCCAGAATGCTGTAGTTTAGGCGAGCATTCAGGTACTATGTGTATGTCCCAGAATGCTGTAGTTTTGTGGTGCATTCAGGTACTGCGCGTTTTCCCAGAATGCTGTAGTTTAGGCGAGCATTCAGGTACTATGTGTATGTTCCAGAATGCTGTAGTTTTGTGGTGCATTCAGGTACTGCGCGTTTTCCCAGAATGCTGTAGTTTAGGCGAGCATTCAGGTACTATGTGTATGTCCCAGAATGCTGTAGTTTTGTGGTGCATTCATTGTTTTTCAAGTTTTCAGAGCAAACTCGCACGTTTTCGTTCAACACGCGCTCGCTTCTTTTTCGCACAGGCATTTTTCAGCCCAAGCTCACTTGTTATGTTCAACGCATGCTCTCTGGTTTATTCGTCCAGGCGTGTTTCTGCCGGGACTGCTGGAGCCAGAGGAGTGTCGTACGCGCGGTGTCATGAACAAACCGATCTGCATTGCGTGGAGCTCCAGCGCTCGCAACCACTTCATATCCCTAGTAGGAGTGAAAGGTTTGTTGTCCTTATTTCTCATAGGTTCGTAGGAGCCAAGTTTCTTATACATAAGAGGCACAGTGGCGCACCGCCGTTGTCAAATTTAACATTGTCGTTGTGAAAATCTTCCTGTATTTACCTGCCATTGTCTGGTGTCAACCCAAAAATAAATAGATCACCACGTGCTTCTGGCATATTTAGATTGCCATGTGCGTTTATTGAGTCTTGTGACGCGGGGTCTACACTTTTCCGTTATTTCCTTTGAATCCATCATGCACGTTTTTCCCCCAAACTGGCCATCACCTCCTTCGTCTAATTTCTCCTCAGAAGTAACCCTGAGGAGTGAAAGGTTTGTTTTCCATGTTGTAGATACTTCTGGTATCTCCTAGATCTCATATAGATATCACATACTGATACACGCGCACATGCACACACGCACGCACCAGACCTGCCAACCCTTTACGATTTTTTCGTATTCCTCACGAATTCCATGATGTTTCTACGAATGTACGATCAAACTGAAAAACTTACGATTTTTTACGACTTGTGAAAATTAATGTTTTTTACATTGTGAGCCGAGAAATATCTGGCGATTGTGGGCGCAGCCATATTGGATCACACGTTCATGTTGTTCTCGCGTGATCTAGAGTTAGTCCCATCATTCATTGCGCGCATAACATACAAACAAAATGGCCACCTGCTGCAAGAAAAGAAAATCCTTACTATTTTCATGAATCACAGGTTGGCAGGTCTGACGCACACACGCAGAGATAAACAGACACGTACTCGATCGCAGGCATACGCACAACAACAATGATTGCTGCCTTTCCCTTGAAATGTGACAATTTTAAACTGATTATTACAAGATTTTTACTCAGAAACACTCAATCCGAGAAAAATATAGCTGAATATAGTCTCACCTGACAGCGGAAATATCACTGATTACACCAACATTAAAAACACTAAGATTTTATGCAGTTATAGCATAGAAAATTGGATATGAACACATTGTGACAGCAATGCATTTTATTATATCGCGGTAATGGCAGAATTGGTAAACTTGTAAATTGTCGGTGATTAATTGAAAACAAGTGCATTTGAGAGAGACTGTACTATGTCTATGGCAGAGCGGCGGCGGCGCTACTAGCTAGTCCATACTACCGGCTCTTGTTTCAAGATTACAGCAAACGATTGTTTATCAAACTAGTAGTTCGAAAATTGCAGGTTTTTGTGAATACGAAGGTTCTAAGACATTTTATTGTTACTCTAGACAAATGCTGTTACTCAAGCAATAACGGTAGGTATCATGAAAGTGGTGAAAACACTGGAAAACTCTCGTAATAATTACTTTAAACCCCATGTCTTCATCTCACTAAAACAGCAACAACAACAACAATTTCCTTGCCCCAAAACATCCAACCTTCGTCTGCATCATCGCACCGCTGATCGTGGTTTCGCATGCTCGCTTGTTTCAGGTAGGAGCTTGCCGCGCCTGCCCAGGTGGGTGATCAGTAAGACGTGGGGAATGCCCAGCTCAAGCATAGACTCCTACGTGGAGTTTGACTCTGACCAGTGCTGCACCATAGGAGGCGACCGCTCACTATCGGTGAGTGAGGGAGGAGGAGGAGGAGGAGGGNAGTGAGGAGGCGGGGTGAGGAGCATGACGGGAACAAGAAGGTGAAAGGGGAGCTTCTGTCATAAATCAACAACAATCATCATCATCATCATCATCATCATCATCATCATCATCATCATCATCAACAATCATCATCATCATCAACAATCATTATCATCATCATCATCATTATCATCAACAATCATCATCATCATTATCATCATCATCATCATCATCATAAGTCGGCATCTCAAAAGTTGCTACTATGACAAAACCTGATACATTATCATTATAATGCAAAAGCATTGTCAGAAACACGTCGTAACTTTTAGGATGTTCATAAAAACGTACAACAACCCGAATTTCATATAACTACTATTATGAAATTAATATTCATATACTATTACGATGCATAGAACTAGTTTATTTTACACGCAGAATATATTATTGTTATTGAATATATTCAATTAAAGTTATATATAAAAAAATATATTTCACATA